GGGTTCTCACGGCGGTGAGTCCGAAGATGGCGGTCTTCTTCAGGATCAGCTGGATTTTTTTTTTTTTTCTTAATTCTTGTGACTTGGAAGGGAGTTGCGTGGATCGTTACTGCCCCAGAAGATGTGGCTTGTTTTAGAAGCACGGAGTTGCAGCTATCAGGAACTTGCATCAGAAACTGGACTCGTCTGATCCAGTTTGCCGGCTCTCATGTATGCGCGTCACGCTTCTAGGGCGGTCTGAGCCAGTCTTCACTCGCAGAGAACAATTTGTCATTCATCCAGTTGAACGCGTTCTACAGGATTGCAGATTTGATTCAGACTTGAGTTCGTCTCCGAGCCTGGCGTCTCTGAGACCAACTATGGGGAAATGTTCACAAACGACAAAAGCCTTTTTTCGTGGATGTGAACATTTCATTTCCTGTCTTGTCTACTGTGTGAACTGCCCAGTTCTTTTCAACTTCCTTTCGCAACTTAATTTACAGGACGTAAAGGGTTGACTCGTTGGACCACAGATTTCCACCAGAGCAGGAGATCCAGAGAACATTGGACGAAATGATTTTATGTAGGAGCAGGTTCTGTCAGTAGCCCGAGAGTTCTGTGTCACTACGGCGAAGTTGATAGACGGATTAACCTCACACGTAGTTCTCGAAGATTTAATTCAGCCATTTAGAGCTCTGTGGTAATTATATTTACCACCTGCTTCAACATTAATGTGTTCTGTGTCTTCGCCACGGAGTATATTAATGTATTTTCGTACGATTCTCGCTGTAAACAGCGATTATTTCCGTAAAAAGCGTTAACACAGTAAAGTGTTGTGTTTTCTTTGCGGTACGGACTGAAATCTTAAATATCTTCTTGGCTTCAAAAGAATTAATGTTGGAGTGACTGGTCTCATATTTCATGTCGTCCGCATTCAGATGCAGTGCAAATGTCAGGAGAGTTCCTTGACGCTATAAATCTAAAATACAAACATGTTGGCACTCAACCGTAGTCCCTGCGACGCGCCAGGCTGTTGAAGTGGCGTCGGAATTTCTGCCCTCTGTTCTTTATAGGTCACCAGTCTCTGACAGACCAGTTCGTGTCCAGACGACGCCACTCGATCAGAATTGCGTCTCCCGCCCTGGAAGTTGTTGTGTAGCTCGCACGGCCGATCACTGCTCGTGGCTAGTTCGGGCATGGTACCTGTTGACAACTGCAAATAATAAGTAGTGCGCTTGACTTCTCTGTTGCCTCAGAACGTAAATTACAACACACACAATCCTATAATTTTTCTAGCTGGTTTGTATGCGTGTGAAAGTTCCTTTCGTACTCCCAGGGTGTTTTGGAGCAAAGTGCTGGGGAGAATATTTGTAGCAGAAGAGACTTTGTCAGAGAAACTGAGAAATTTGTAGAATGAGGAGCTTCCCCGTTGTCACCCTTCACGAAATATCATCGGGTGCGGTGGGGAGACAGGGCAGCCCGTTCAGAACGTATGACATGAACCAGGGGTATGGTTTTCCAGTCATCTGCGGCTGCTGCTTGAAGTCGGCCGTGTTCCGACGTGCAATTCATGTCCCGGGGCAGGAATCGAACCCGCGCGGTCGGCCTGCAACAGCATTGCACGTCAAACAGGCTCTTTCCTTGTGGCATGTCATGAAACGTAGAATTGCGAGACTTCCAATGTCTCTCACTCACTACTTCCTGCTGTGCTGATGACTTCTGCACGCATCCAAAGAGGTTGTCGTGTGACAGGAACATCAAACGACTAGTTCAGATCCAGCAGAGAGAGAGAGAGAGAGAGAGCAGCAATCAACAGGCATCCCGGAAGTCATTGGAAAAGAAAATATCTCAATCCTCTCAGTCCGCAAGATTTCATTTATCTGGCTGCAGGTGTTTCGTCTCAGGGCTAAACAAAACAACCATAACAGGACCTGTGTCGTTAAAGGCACCTTCCAGCCAGCTTGATTAAAACTATTTTACTAAACAACTCTGGGCCTACTCCATAACGCAATTTTTTACGTTGTGATGTGAGTGATGAGTGGGGAAGTGGTCGTGGTCTATTTTAATGCGCGACTCTTGTTCTGCGGAGCATCGCTCAGTGTTTACATTTACGTAATTTATGTGGTAATTTTTATGACAGTGATGATGGTAACAGCTACTTGTCAACGACGACCACCAAAGGTAGTCTGGTAGCCGTGGACATCTACCAGACTGCACGGCACAACAACCCAGAAGACAGCAATCTTCAGACTCACCGCCTTGAAAACCTTAAATCCTACGTTATCTGTGTTGGTTGTTTTCCTCGGGTCACTGCTTTAGAATTCTTGAGTAATAATATACCACGACCACTTCCCGATACTATGTTCCGACTCGTCGATTCGACTTTTCACAATTCGTTCAAGCGTCGAGAAATTATCGATCAACCAAACAACTTCGTAGATTAACTAATAATACTCGAACCACCGGCACACAGCTCCCTTCCTCCTTTGGTGTTTATCTTCAAAATTGGACTCTTCCCTTCTGGTGTCCGACCAAACTTTTGCATGCGTTTCACGTTTCTCCATCTCGTGCTACGCGGAATCTTTGTACGTCTGTGCCGAATGGTTCTGCTTCGCTGGCTTCTCGGAAGACTGACTTGCCGAAACAGGTTTGTGAGTTTGGATGTCCGTTTCCCACCCCTCAGTAATGTCGAATGCAGACATTTTCCTTCTAAAGGGTAGCCTTGCCCCGTGCTCCCGTGGGTCTACTTACGTTTTCGCCCTT